GAGTGCACTCAAAACCCATCGAAACCATAACAGCATTTTGAAACTTCATCAGTATTTCTTTCCCTTGCTTTGAAAAGCATCAATAAAACAGAGAGAAAAATGAACCATCATTGTTATGATCATCATTCTACTTTTACAGGAGAGATTCTCTAGGCAAAGGTTGCATTAGATAGGTAGAAAGATAGGTTTCTTGTACACTTCTAAGAGAAAAAGATAAAAATTACTTATATCTCACCTCACTCCCTTTACTTTTCAACAAAAAAGCAGTCCTGGAGTAACTATGCCTTAGCAAAACTTTATACCACACTACATGCTATAGCTATAAATGCTTCTGCATTTCAGTAAACTGTTTACTATGCATCCTGCATGGTTCACATAGGCTTGAAAAATACTTAAGGAAACTTTCTGAAGGACTAACTAGGGCAGTTTCATTAACATTGTGCTAACAGAAACAATAAAGTGGCATGCCTTTGAGACTGGAGTTCCTTCAGACTAGTTAAATATCTGTCCTTCACTAGTCCCCATTTCCCAAACTGTTCATCTACATTATTACCCATTCAGAAAGATATGCTTACCATCAAAAAAATCATCTGCAAAAGGTTTCATTTATTACTTTCATTTTCGAAGTGCAGGCCAAAGTCTTTTATTGTAGCAAGACTGGTTACAAAAGAACGGCTGCTGTGCACACTTTTTTGGAAGACCCAAAGCCATCTGCACATTAGAAGGACGTATCAGCCAGAATATAGGACTGGCCCAGTGCTTTCTCCTGGAATACCTACTTACAGCACAAAACTGAATATTATGTTGAATTCTAATGCCAACCCTATATCTAACAAACAGAAATCACGTGGAAGAAATAAAGCCAAACATACACATACACACAATAACCAAAATGATCATTCTTGATTTCACCTCCAGTGCTAGGTATGGAAGCTTATTGTTTTTCTGACCATTTTACTAACCTTCCTCTGTGGTACGAGCAGACTTTGATTCACTGTCCATTCCTTGGAATTCATTGAAATAAGGTCGAACTTTAATTTCGTAAGTGACTCCCTTTTTCAAGCTGACGAGGACAGCACTGCGCTCAGTTGGGACTTTGACTTCCAAATTCTGCCATACAGCTGGAGAAGGTAGGCCAGACGTTTGGCGATACATTACTCGGTAGCCCTGAATAAACTGGGATTGGCGGTCGACCTAGAAATGGTATTAAATAATACACCAATAAACATATTAAAGCAACGGAACTGTTACGTTAAAAAGAAAACAAAACATTTGCTTAGAACACTTTTGTCCTCATGAAAAAGAGAACATTAATAGTCATTTAAGATGCTGAATTTAAAAATCAAACTGCTGTCTTGTAAGTCACTGTTGATTAATTGTCTATAAAGAACATTTTTCTCACATTACTTGTTACAGAACATTTCTTTCTATTTTACTTTCTTCAGCTCTATATATTATGACAAATACCACCTTAAATGATAAAACAAGGCCCCACCCCTGCAACAAATCATAAAAAGAGAACTTTGGCATAATGCTTACTGCATGTAAACTTATTAAGCCCATCTTGGCTACTGCTGTGCTGAAATAGGAGAAGAAAAGAAAAACAAATTCTTTTCAGAAAAGGATAAGTCTTTGAAGATACCCTACATGCTTTCAGTTAGTCCATTACTTGGCTCACAGCTCATCTTTTCATGAGATGCTCAGGAAAGTAAAATAAACATAAGACAGATGCAGAGAAAACAATTTCCAAGGACACGTGCTGTTTCTTGCTTTCACAGTCTAAGCAGCCTCTTTGCATCCTGGAGTTGTGATGCTCTCAGGCCACCATATGGAGACAGAATGTTGGTTTTAGTTGATGATGTTTTATATGTTGCTAGGCAAGCACAATTCAAGATTGGACCATACGTGGAAGCTTAACAATTCTAACCTATCGTAGCTACAAATAGGATTTTTATTTAAAGAAAAAAACATAAAATGTGTTTTATCTTGGAGAGGTTGCATGCATTTTTTTCTCTTGGGGGAAAAAAAGGCATGAAACAATGATTCAAGCTATTACAATGTTTGCTTGAATTTTGCCTGAAAAAAACAGTCAAAACAATTCGATGGATAAAATCAAACCAAACCCAGCTGATTCTGTCGCCATCAAATAAAAAGCCAAAGAAAGTGGAGTACAAATAACAAGACTAGCTGTTCAGTAAATTTCTTGGTTATAACTAAGATTCAAGAAGTAGGATTCCTTTTCTGCTCTTGACAATTTGCTAGCTCAAAGATATTTCAGAATTAGACACATCTGTTTGACTTCTCTTAAGAATAAATGAATTTAAGGCTGAAAATACAAACCGGGATCTATTATGCTCCTCCTATAATCTTGTTACAGTTTATCGAGGCATTCAGGACACAGATTCTTAAGACATTAAAAAGCAGGGCAAGCAAGAAGAAAGCTTTATTTATGAGAGCAAAGCAGAAATGTCTTTCATCAAAACTGTCACTGTTAAAAACCTTGCAACATATGTTACAACAACATTAAGCTTGCATTTTATAAACTTCTCTACATTCACTTTAAGTGAATTTATGCACTGAAAGAGGGATATAACTCACAATAATAGCTTGTTAATACCGAAAGAATCAAGCTGTGTTTTTAAGAAGAACATTAAGCAGCTGTTTCCAGATGAAGGGAGTCTGTAAATCAGAGTAAATTGTTTTTATCCATGTTTGACTTTCATTAATTAAATGTTTTACAGACATAAAGACTTTATGAACCTCATGTTTACCACAAAATTCAGCAAGAGTAACGCTTTCATGCACTTTGTAATACAGATTCTCAAACTAAATTACAAAATAAAGCTATGATGTTTAATAATCAAACACTAAGTTTGATTCCTGCCTAGCTTCTGAGTTACAAGCTGCACTGAAAGACAGCATAACTTTGTTAGAACTTTCCATTTTGTCTTTGCTATGCTTTTAAGCTCTACTGACTGCTGCCTAGTGGAGAATATCTGAAAATTCAGAATTGACTAGGCTGAACTGTCATGGTGTGCTGCTACAAAACAGTATGGAAACTGCTTTGTATGATATGGTACAAACACAAACGCACCCACCAACTGCTTGAGAAGAACTGGACCCATATAGTATGCCTATAGTATACTAATTTTGAGTCTATCACACTTCCATATCTACTTACATATAGGTAATATACAAATTATTCACACACCTCTTTTTCTTCTAGACTTCTAAGTTCCTAACCTAAAGGACTAAACAATACTAGCAATGTGAAAACAGAACACAGTAGTACAACTAGGTTGTCATGTAAATAGGTGCTATAAGCTGCCTTGATTTGGGGCTCACACAAGTTTCACAGAGCTTTCAATTAGAAGTTTGATTACAACAGGGCTGATGATTAATCTGCTTGAATTTCAGGTTACTGACAGTGATTCCATTGTTCAGGATCTGGGATGGTACTTAGGAAAGAAAATACTATGCATTTTTAATGTTTTCCATAAACATCCAGTTGCATTCAGTATCAAGGAGAGGACACGAAACCATTTCTCACGCCCACTTAAAGCTAGTCTGAAAGAACAGGGCCTTTCATATGGTCAGAATGGTGGGAAACTATTCAGAGGGCACTTCACTTACTGAGAAAGGTGGATTTTTTGTTTTGGCTTTTCTGATTAGTAAAAAATTACTCTTGGATAATTACACAGATTAACCAGAGATATTTGTGAGGTATAGGACAGCTATATTTCATGTACACTTACACATACATTTATATGTGTACATGCATATGTATGTATACACATATACATACATATGTGTATGTGTCTACATATACATGTACACACAGTCTTATATACAACAAAACCTGTGACTTCATGATTCCTCCATTTGTTATGTGGTAATTATGTGTCACACCACCAGCAGGCCACTAAAAATATGCTTAGCATTAAAGAACTGCATTTAGCTGTGCTAAGCATCAAACAACTCTATAGGTTTGGTACATATTCACACATAGGCAGAGCTGCAGAAAAATGCACTGTGGTTTGATGAAAGAATGTAATAATTTCTAGGTATTGTTCCTTCTCACTCTCTTTTTTTTTTTTTTTTTTTTAAATGGTTGGCACTTCCTTATACAAAGTACTTAGCATTATTATAGAGAGTGCAGGAATTCTCTGCGCTGAATACTGGGATCAGAGAAAATTTCTAGTCTTCCTGTGACACTCTTAACTGCTCTTGAATTTATGCAAGCCGCAGTGACATCCACTCAAAAGAGCTGCAACAGTTGCTGGTCTAAAGATACACTTTCTCCCTCAAAAGACAGTTGATAGAAAACGCAGATGCTCCTTTAAAACAGAAGAGAGCGATTACTGGGTAGGTTCTGCTCAGCGGTGACCTAATGCTTTAAGGCGACCTACGATCATAAGCGGTCCTGCACGCCCCTTCTCACACTCTGTTACGATGAACACGTAGTGCAGGAGGTATCTACATAACTGATGACAGCTCTCCATTTCTGCAGAACAGGAAACTCATTTTCCCTGCGTGTTCAAATCTGCCCATATTGCAGCTGAACATGAGAGGGGTTCAATGGATATTAGATCATTCAGTTAGGCTATTAGGCTGTTAAAAAAGATGGCAAGAAACTTGCAATGCAGCTTATGCTGCAAACATACGCTTTCAGGCAAACCTGCTAATCTGCACCCTAAAGACATTTTGCAAAATGCTCTTTAGTATGTAAATTTCTACCCTAAAATATCCTAAGTAATGCTCTGCTCCCACATCAATACCCACAGCAAGTCTCCATCTGGGCAGAATACCTTACACACTGTGCTGAACTCACTAGTAACAGACTCGCAGTAATCTCTGGAAATTCAAACAGCACTAGTATTTATCTATCCTACAGGAACAAGACAAAGGGTGACAATACACTGGAAGACTGTCTAAAAGACTTGACTCTTGAAGCTTCCAGTGAAGTGCATTCATTTAAAATCAATGTCAGATTAAAAGACAGAGGTAAATAAATTATCCTTCTGCCTGGTAGCCTCCTAGAAGGCAGTCAGGATTTCAAAGCAACAATTATTTTGCCATATCGAAGAACTGATTTTTATTTCTGCTTGTGCCACAGGGCTCCTTTATAATGCTAGGAAACTTTCCACTTTTGGCCACTAATGAAACTCTCAGTTTAGTGTCCAGTGACGCTAGAAGTGCTGGACTATAGTTGACGTCAGCCAAAAAAGTGCTTGGAGTACACAATATGCTGTTGCAAGGCAAAATGCTTTGATAAAAGTAAAAATAAATCAAGCCCAAGGTTTAAAATTAGCCATTTGATAACGGTGGGCATATCCGATTCCATATGTCTCATCAGCAATAAATATCTCTGCACCTCACCTCTCTGTGTAAAGTTAGGATACTGACACATTTTTTTCATTGTGATGTTAAATTCAGTATTACTTGTGAAGCACCCAAGTGTTACAGTTGAGAGCATGGCAGATAAGGAAGTGTGTGAGACAAACTAAGAATTTTTTATTCAATGTAATGTTTCAATGCTATGAATTTAATAAGACCTGGCACCACACAGTGAATAAAGAAGATAAAAGGAAATGTTGAACACCTCCATGAAGAAGAGATCCTGTATGTGACCAGATAATTAGAGTTATACTTTAATACGTATGCACGAGAAGGGTAAATTTCAGTGGCAGTGAAAGCCTAACTTCTGACATTCCTCTTCTTTTTTTTAGCACTGACTTTCTAAGCCTGTCTTTATTTTAAAACAGACAAAATATGTGTGTATATGTATGTGTATATTTTAATATTGCAACTGAGTAGCAGAGAACTCTTTCTGAAACTTTAAACTCAAATTTGGGGAAAACAAAAAAAAAAAAAGAAAAAAAAGAAAAGAAACCCAAAACAATCTCAGAAAGCAGGGGAAAATGAGTGTTAATTTTCTGGGAGTCAGGATGCCAGAAACTCAGTAATCAAGGAATCAAGGATGTTCCTTGGCATTCACTCTTTGAATTGCAGAAAGTACAACACAAAGAGTCTTATGACTCTCATGGCACTTCTGTCCTTTTGTATGATAGCTACACTATCTAACCATTTTATATTAATAGTGTGGACCTTATTCTCTGGATAGAGTGGCTTTTTTTCCTAGAGACTATGATTAATTAATTGGTTTTGTTCTGGTCGCTGGAAAGTTTCTAATTAGCTGTTCCAAAGATATTTTTGTTGTGTGCCTTCCCTTGGGCAATTCCAAAATGTCTCTACAGAGGCCTGTATGCTTGTCAGGTGGCATAGGGTCACCGCTTTGAGGGATCTTCCCAATAAGGTGATATATCCACAGCATCTCTAACAATTTACCTTTATTTTACCATGTTTTCTTCACTCATTACTTGTTCAGTAGGGGCACCAAGAGACTCTTTCATACATAGCATGAGCCAGCAGTGTGCCTCGTGACCAAAAAGGTCAATGGTATCGTGGGGTGCATGA